ATCCATCTAGTTTTACTCTCATCCATCTAGTTTTACTCTCATCCATCTAGTTTTACTCTCATCCATCTAGTTTTACTCTCATCCATCTAGTTTTACTCTCATCCATCTAGTTTTACTCTCATCCATCTTGTTTTACTCTCATTTAAGAAATTACGTGGAATAGAATGGACTATGCTTTACTTACTAGCGCGCATGCTTGAATAACATCTGCAAATGAACCAGTACACACCATTATGGAGGATATTCAAGGACTCTTTATTTTTTCCACGGGCGGGTCGGGAGAGGGGGAGTGTTTTAGGTTTTCTTGAGGCAATAGATATATTTCAGCGCCAAAAGAGGACATAATTTAGTCAAGCTAGCTCTGAATATACGACCCTATGGTACATAAACTGAATTCATTCCAGTTGTTGCTTTGTGCCCCAGATTAGTTGCGCACCTTGATTCCCTTTATACAAATGTAGTCCAGCTGTATTTACCAAATTAAGGGAAAGAGTTTTTTTAACAGCCAAAGAAACTCATTTTAATTATTAAAAGATAACATAAAAATGGGCCCTTTATTTTCACTTTGATCGGAAAAAGGGGTGGGGGTGGGGCTGAAGATGGAAACAGAAATTGAGGAGATTAGTCTGGGGATGAGTATAAAACCGGTTCCAGAAAGTGTTTGATAAATTAAAAATCCAGGAATGCATTTTGGCGCTTAGCTGAATTTTGTTTTGAATTATTCTACGCCATAGGTCGTAGAGCAATTCAAGAGATGCTTGGAAATTTGGATGTCTCCTTTTGTGCTTGTGTTTAAACAAATCTTTTTTATTTTTAGCAATTATTAAAAAATTAATCATGTTAAAATTTTGTATTTGTTTTTAACTATTTCATTAATAAATGAGTATTAAAATAATGCAGACCATAAGGTTCCGGTACACCGTACCAGCGTGTACGTTTAAAAAAACATAATTTCTTCTTCTTCTTCTTCTTTATTTTAAGGGCCCACGATCAATGAATTGATCATTCTGGCTCCTATGTTTCAGAGGGGTTTGCGATGTTACTGTTCATGGGTTTCAATGGGATACTTCACTGGTTGAAAGGGCGACTCAGCAGTGGTGTTATGAACTGGGGGTTGAAATACAGGAGGCAATAGACACAAATGTGTCTAGTGTTGCTGCCTCAACTGTTCCTTTTGGAAGCTTGTTCCAGTCCCCTATTGTCTTCGGCAGGAATGAGGAGCTTATGTACTTTGTTCTTGTTTTTACCAGCCGGAACTGTTTGTCGTGGCTTCGTCGCAGTCTAGGGGGAAGATGAACGAGTTTCTGTTTGATTCCGGAGCAGTGCAACAGCCCATTTGTTATCTTGTACAACATGGTGAGCCTGGATAGTCGTCGTCGTTCTTCCAATGTAGACCAGCCCAGTGTTTCCAGCATGCTGCCAACGCTCGAGGTGCTTCTGTAGCGGTTCATGACAAAGCGCGCTGCCCGTCGCTGGACCGCCTCCAACCTATCGATGCTTTTCTGGGTAAATGGGTCCCAGACTGTAGAAGCGTACTCTAAAATAGGTCGGACAAAGGCTTTATAGGCTTTTTCTTTCACACTTGAGTTGCCGATCTTCAGATTACGCCTTAGGAACCCCAGGGTCTTGTTTGCCCGGTTGCACACACTGTTAATGTGCTCGTCCCAGCGGACCTCTCTTTGAATGGTAACACCCAAATACTTTACGGAGGAAACTGGCTCAAGAATATGACCATGCAGTTCGTAAGAGTGGTTTAGAGGGAATCTGCTTCTGGAGACTGACAGGGTCTGGCACTTGACGGGATGAAATTCCATGTCTCAGCTCATCTCCCACTCAGCTAACCGATTGAGGTCTTGTTGAAGCTGGCTCTGGTCAGAGCTGTTGACGATTGTCCTATATAGCGCCGTGTCGTCTGCGAACAGTCTTGCTTGAGAGGTCAGCTTCTCGGGCAGATCATTGATATATGCTAGGAACAAACAAGGGCCTAGCACTGAGCCCTGGGGGACCCCTGACTTAACACCGACAAAGGAGGAGGTTTTGCCATCTACCACTACTGCCTGGCATCAGTCGCTGAGGAAGCTAGAGATCCATGTTTTGGTAGTGCCTTGGATCCCATATCTATGCAGTTTGTGTAATAGCAAGCTATGGTTGACACGGTCAAACGCTTTTGAAAAGTCCAGCACAAGCACATCAGTCTGCTTGCTGTTCTCCAAGTTGGTCGTCTACTCTTCAGCAAATTCAAGGAGTTGGGTCTCGCATGATCTGTTGACTCGAAAGCCATGCTGACAGTCATTGAGTATATTATTTCTTTCCAGGTGATTCATGACCGTGCTTACGATTATGTGTTCCAATAGTTTACATGCTACGCTAGTGAGGGATACAGGGCGTTAATTGGATGGGTCGTAATGCTCTCCTTTTTTGTAGATCGGAGTGACATACGCTGTTCTCCAGTCAGTTGGAACGTTGCCTGTGAGTAGCGACGATTGGAAGAGGATTGTTAATGCAGGAGCGATTTCATTGGCCAATTATTTTAGCACTCGTGGTTTAATGTTGCCAGGACCACATGCCTCGTAGGGGTTAATGGTTTTAAGAAGTTCCAGCCCACCCTTCTCTGAAATCCTTAAACCTATTGAAAGAAAATTTTAAAAAGCTATAATGAGTATCGTTTTGCATTTTTAAATTTTTTTTTCCCAAATTTTTCTAGAATAAATGTGGCACTACATTTTTAGATAGGAATTATAGATCTTTTACAGCTATTTAAAACTAGACATTTAAAAATAATTTACTCTTTTATTAATTAGAAAATAGAATTACATAGACACATTACAAATGAAAGGAAAAATGGCATCTTTTGTAAAGCTCTTCGATCAACTTGAGCACATGGTTTGCAAATCCATAGGTTGTTGTTTTTTATGATGCTATTAGAAGAAATGAAGACTTGATTTGAAGCACCAAAAATAGTAAATAAAAACTATTTGATACTTGTTCAGAGATGTTGAATTTTGTAATAAATGCTTGGAAAATTGAAAGGGCTCATTATTTAACATTCTGAAATTAAAAAGAGAAAAGCAGCTAAGAATGCAAACATTGAATTCCAACACGGAGAAAGAATCCCGTAGTAGGTGTGACATTGACACAGTGAAATTCCGGCAAAACCTGCGACTGACGTGGAACACATAAAGCGTGCAGTGAGATACAGGAACCACTACTGGTCATTCACTGCATGCTGGTCTATACCAGTCTTCCGGGCGAAGTCTTGCCACTGGATTGAATAGGGTGGACTCTCCACCACTTTATCAAAATTCATTGCAAGTCAAATCTAATTCTCAAGTTTTAGATAAATTGATTAAACTTAACATCGTTATTATATGAACCATAAAATATTATATTTTTTTTTTAAATGTATAGAACTTTATAATTTTTTTTTCATTTTTAT